CTCACCGAGAAAAAGAGCGAAACGACCCGACCGCGAACGCCAATCGCGCGTTTACATCACCTTGCTGGCATTCTTTTGCCTCTGACGGCATTTATCGGGCCTATTCGCCTTTACCTACACAAAGCAAAAGGGAGGACGTGTTGATCCCTCTTAAGTCAAAACGGCCGCAACATTTTACTTCGGGCGCATCCCACCTCACTCACTTACACCCCATAATCCTGCCCATCTCAACCAACGGCCCCTCGCGGCCTCTTCATCCCGCCCACCATGACGACGCCAACGAATAATCGCGATCGCGCCAATTCAGACGAGAATGAGAAGCATTCTCAGCATACGGACGACAGTCTCCAAACCGCAACTGATCCCAACTCTCAGCCAACACACCCCGAAAAGTTGACGAGATTAAACACCGACAACCACCTTCATATCCCTCAAGAGACACATGGCGGACCAATGTCGCCGCAAGATTCACGGGAACAGGCCTCGCGTCTGAACGACGATCTGGAGCTGTTGCGCGCCGAGCGCCTCATCTCTAACCAAGAACATGAGATTTCCCAGCAGCGTTCTCGCCAGGGTAGGACCCGCGAGATGGAGCCCGAGGATGTCTTCGCTACCAACGGTCCAAACTCTGCCGATGCCGCCAAGCCGCCGCCCGAGAAGAAAGCCGGCGCCTTTGCCTTCGCATTGTGGAAGTGGTTGAGGAAGTTCCCGCGCGTCTTCCGATACTTTGTCTATCTGATTCCCGGTGCCGCGCTTCTTCTCATTCCGGTTCTAATCGGTCACTTCGCCGTTGACGCCGAGAGCGCTACCGTCGGTGGTGCTTATGGCGTCTATCTCACATGGTTTGGAATCTGGCTCGAGGTCATCTGGTGCTCATTGTGGGCTACGCGTATGGTTACCAGCTTTATGCCCCTCACCTTTGGCGGTATTGCCATTGTCATGGGCTCTTCGAACCACAAGAAGTGGAGGGACATCGGCCAGGGTCTCGAGCTGCACACTGCTCTCTTCATGTGGATGCTCGCCATTCTTTGCTCCTACTCGCCTATCCTCGAAGACCACCGCGTTCTTCCCGATGGGTTCAACCCGGACACCGACACCAAGCCGGATCTCAAATGGGTCGATATCGTTCAGAAAGTCATCATCGCTTTCTTGGTTCTTGCTGCCCTCAACTGGGTTGAGAAGATTTGCATCCAATGGATCGCCACGTCTTTCCATCAGCGCACATATGTCCAACGAATTGAGACGAACAAGAGCGACATCGACCATTTGGTCCACCTTTACGAGCACTCCAAAATGCGAATTAATCGCGAGGACTCCATCTGGCTCACTACCGAGAACGGCAACAGATCAGGCGCCCGTACCCCAATGGGTGTCGTTGGAAAGAATGTTCGCACTGCCTTCAACAAGGCTGGTGGCGTTGCGGCTCGCGTCGGAAACGACTTCATAGGACGAAAGGTCGCCTTCAACCATGCCCGCAAGATTACCTACGAGATGTTGCGCAACACAGGCTCTGCCCATTCTCTCGCCCGCCTCATCTTCCGCAGTCTCGCCAAGGATGGCCAGGAGACCATCTACCTCGAAGACATGCAGTCCGCCTTCAAGACCAGCGAAGAGGCCGAACATGCCTTTAGCATATTCGACAAAGATCTCAACGGTGATATTTCTATGGAAGAGATGGAACTCACTTGCAACGAGATTCATCTTGAGCGCAAGGCCATCGCTGCTTCGTTGAAGGATCTCGATTCCGTCATCAAGAAGCTCGACAAGGTCTTCCTCGTCATCATTGTTATCATCGCCATCATCGTGTTCATCTCCATTCTCTCGGGCTCTGCCGCTGCCGGTCTCGCATCTGCCGGATCCAGTTTCCTCGGTCTCGCATGGCTGCTCCAGGCCAGCGCTCAAGAATTCCTGCAGTCCATCATCTTCGTATTCGTCAAACACCCTTTCGATGTCGGCGACCGCGTCACTGTCTACGGCAACACTGGTACCACGGGAACTGGTGATGATTACTACGTTACCGAAATCTCTCTGCTATACACCGAGTTCAAGAAGATGGAAGGTCACATCGTACAGGCACCCAATAGCGTGCTCAACACCCTCTTCATCCTCAACCAGCGTCGTTCCGCCGGCCTGGCCGACCCTATCGAGCTTAAGCTTGGTTTCGGCACCGACCCGGAGCTTATCGAGGAGCTCAAGTCTCGCATGCTCAACTTCTGCCTCGAGCACAAGCGCGACTACCAACCTCGCATCATTACTGAAGTCCGCACTCTCAACGAGGTTCAATCTTTCACCATGAACTTGATCTTCTTCCACAAGTCCAACTTCCAGAACGAGCTGCTCCGTCTGCAGAGACACAACAAGTTTGCTGCCCAGCTCATGGCCGAGGTTCGCGCTGTTGGCCTCCAGGGCCCTTGGCAGGTGCAACCTGGTGGTTCCCGCAACACCCCTTTCTACTGGGCAGGCGGCGCCCCTCCTTCATACGACTCTTCAAAGAATGGCGGTCCCAGTGGCATCGAGCCTGCGACGCCTGGAGGCGACTCTCACTCCATTCATTCTACTACTCAGCCCACTACAGCGGGTAATGCGGTAGCCACCCGTGCTCGCGCCGATTCTCGCACTGGTATGACGCCTTTCATCGACAACAACTGGAGCGACTTCCAGGACGTGTTTGAGGCTCGCAGAGAGGTCCACCAGCCGCACGTCGCGCGTCTCCAGAGCATCCGTGAACGAACCGATCTCGAACGCCCAGACAGCGCGACGTCAGGCGCCGCGGCCTCGAGAGCTAGCCACGAGTCTGGATCTCAGCGTCGACGCTTCTTTGGGCGACCTCGGAGTTCTAGCCGAACCAAGACCGGCGACATTGTTTAGACCAAATGACAGACGATGAAATTCTTTACAGCGGAACAAAAGTCTTTTTTGCCTTGTGCCCAGGCTCGGGACACTTACACTCTTTTCATAATGCGATATATGTAATCAGCGAAGCGAGAGAAGCGCCCTAGAGAAGGAGAAGATAGAGAGGAGTGTGCATGGATCACCTTTGCGTACTAAAGGATCTGGGTAGAATGCCCAAGTATCTATCGCAAGGTGTCGACGGAGTTTTATTTCAGAGAAATTGGCATCGGGAGCGAGAAGACGCTTCCTTTTGGACAGACAGAAATCGGGGTAAAATACCCAAATAGAAACCTCGATTCATAATTCGCAACGTTGGTCGACTAATTCTGCTTACCTGGTGTTATTGACAGCTTTCGACTGAACTTCAGCTGCCCATCGTATGAAGGACGATTCCATCGTTCTCTCCCTTTCTCCCAAGGTCTTTAATATGCACCAACCGAACGCAGGTTGTTTCTGATATCAGGCAGTTTCTGTGGTAACCAAGCGACACTGCTAGAGAGGCGCGTCAGACACCACCTCCTCTATGCTTCTTAATACTTCTTTTCCTTGTTTCTCCCGCCAAAGACCGCGTGACCAGCGACTATGTGCTACCCCCCGGGAGGATATCGAAGCTGCTCCTAAGGCGTACCGCACCCATGTTTTGGAGTGCAATCGCAGTATCTTCGAAGTCTAAGGTCTCTCTACCATTAAAACATCCACATGTCGACCTATCAGATGTCCTCATTTCGTCCCTTAGCATCTCTGGTCGTCGACGCGGGGCCAGAAGGCGACCTTGAAGACGACAAAGACGTACCATGAGAGGTCCCTTCCGATGTGGACCGGGAAGTGGAGGTCGGAGAAGAGACTCTCCGCGCCGCAACCCAGCACAAAAGTTCCTCCGCCGGACAGTCTCATGATGGCACAGCAAACCAGAGACGTAAAATCTTTTACCACGACGATCCAGCCAAATTCCTTCTACATTCCCTAAGTTAAGGAAATAGCGCCAGGAATCCGTTCATGTCCCGCTCGCGCCCTTCCGGGCCCTCCTTCTCCCCCCGGACTGCGATGCCGGGTTATCCGGTACAGGGCGGGACGGCTTTCCCGGCAAAAGATGCACCCTCTGATAGTGCCAAGGATATATCAACATACCTTAATTTCAAAGGACCGGCTTGACTTGCCCCTTTCCAGCCAGGCAAACCCGAGCTTGCGGATAAGGTTTTTGAAGTCCTCATTTCTCCAAAGTCCCAAGTTTTCTCTCGGTTAAGCGGGAAAGTCGGCGTGCTGGATGAATTTCGCACCTCAAGTATCAATGATATTTGCAAGGCAAGTCTTTAGAATATACACCTAAGAATGAGACTCCTCGTCCAATCGTCCTCTCACTTGGCATGGCATGCTCCTTGGACTGAAAGACTGCACTCTGCTTCTTTCAGAGGCTTGGTATACTACCGAATCGTGACTCCCGTAATCAACATGAATCCCCGGCCCATAAACTCAATTCTCCAACAACGCACCGCCAGGGCGGGGCCGCGGTGGTCCAAGGCCAGGATAGGTGGCCCGGAGAAGTCTACATAAGCAAAACTGTATGAAGGAGCTTCAGGGAATGGCCTGCTTCCAGACATATCCGCCAAGATCTTCATACTCTATTCCTTTAGTTTTTGGCAGGATCCAAGGGGGAAGTTACTGGTATCCATGGCAAATTCGTCCAAATAGGCCATTCAAAAAAAACAAACCGAATCAGGCGATGCCATCTTTTACCTAAATAGCCAAGCACGGAGCTCTGTACAGATCTAGATGTTGGGGTAAATGAAGGAGGAGGAATCTTCAAGCGGATATCCACGTGAACATGCAGTGTCTCTTACTTAAAGGTAGGTCTATAGCAAGTTGACAATGTTGTCAAGTAGCTGTTGGCAAGTATCACCAAATTGTCCCTGCTCGTCTTCACCTGGTCATTCGTTTGTTCTACAGCGACAGCATTTCATTCGTTTCCTTCAAGCTCGCACACCCTCTTCGTTCGACTCCCATCATCACAATGACACACATCCTGGCACATTCAGTCCCTCATCCCTGACATCCCCCCCCCCCCCTCTTTCCCCAGAGACGTCCCTTTCTAAGTTCATGGGAATATCAAAATGGCAAAGATGCTCCTAGCTCTAGCCGCTCTCCTCGCAGCAACGACAGCCACATCCGCAGCCTGCACCAACCCCTCAATCCGCAAACCATGGACCGCCCTTACCGAAGACGAGAAGGCAGGCTACGTGAACTCGACGCTCTGTCTAATGGACCCGACCCAAGCGCCAGCTAAAGTCCGAAGCTGGGGCGCGACGAGCCGCTGGGAGGAGTTGGTTGTTGCGCATATTGCGCAGGTTCGTTATATTCACACAGTGGTACGTGAAAACCCATGTCAACTGTTAGACTTCTGCCCTTAAAAAGGGATGCGTTTGAAGATTGTTATTCCGTGAGACTAATACGATGGATTGATGAAATAGGGTGCCTTGTTTCCCTGGCATCGATGGTACACCAAGATCCACGAAGACCTCCTCCGTAACGAGTGCGGATACACCGGTCCATACCCGTACGCCTACCCTTCCTCCCTCTCCCCCTTCTCTCACTTCAAACAACCTCACATACAAAACCCAACTCACATCTACTCCAGCTACTGGGACCTACAAGCAGACCAAGCCCTCTATTCAATCCAAAACGCCACCGTCTGGGACACCGCATCCTCCGTCAAAGCCTTCGGCACAGGCAGAATCGACGCGGCCACAAACTGTATCCTCGATGGTGCTTTCGTGAACTACCGAGTCCGCTTCAACACGCAGCTCGAACGAGACGAGACGAAAGGAGGCGGCGTCTGCCTCACCCGCGCCCTGAACCAGACGGCCTTCGATACCGTTTCCCAAGCGAATGTCGTGGAGCCGTGTATGGCGCTTGAGAGGGGTGATGATTACGGCGAGATGTTGGGGTGTCTTGGGAATACGCCGCATAGTGGTGGGCATTTAGGCGTCGGTGGCATCGTGAGTTTACTCTTCCCCTCTAACCGTCTCCTGCTGTCCCAGCACCGAGTAGAATGAAAGGACTCCTCTCATCAGAGAAATATCCGAACCCAATACTGATCATCCCAGATGCGCGACCACGCCCGCTCCCCCGCCGATCCAATCTTCTACCTCCACCACACGAATTTCGATCGCCTCTGGTGGGAGTGGCAGACTTCCTCCCCCGGCAGAATCCACGCGATGGGCGGCCCCAATGTCGCGGCGAACCAGATCTTTCTCGACGCGCAGCCAAAGATCTTGCCAGAGGACATGTTCCTCCCGTACTTTGGAGACGGAGGCGGCAATGTGACGACTCTGGAGCATGTTCTGTGGATGCCTGGATTGGCTGAGAATATCACTATCAGAGACACGATGGACGTCCGCGGGGAGAAGATGTGTTTTGACTACGTTTGAACGGGGCTGATGCCGCAGTAATAACCGTCTTGGGATTGATGAGATTGTCGTATCACTAAAGTCGAGGTCCGACACTCCTGACAGGGCATACCGCCATTCTGCTTTGGCAGCTCAGAGAGGGTAGAGCGAGTGGACCACCGAGGCATCACTATGAAACGAAGCTGACGAACGTCATCATTGACAGTCAAATACCGAGCAATGATATGATGTCTGATTTGAGGTCTACAAAATACATAAGACCCTTGTAACACTACTACAAAGTCGCCGCCATAAGAGATGTAATGTTTGGTCATCTGAAGTTCATTTGATAGACTGCTCCTCCTAATATCTCGTGTTGTCCCCATTCATTCACTCTTATGATAAGCAGACTTCGAGCTCAAGTCTGAGCCATACGAGTCATAAAGATTGACCCAATCCATATCAATACAGGCGTAGAACATCACATCATAGCCGCAAACTCCAAGCAACAATGTTACCAACAGAGTGTAGCAAACGTACAGTTGCTCTCGATGACGACCTCGGAGTACGCTGGGTACAGTACATCAAAAGCGGAGGCAATGGCGGTGTTGTATTCGTTGTTGAATTTGGTGATGTTGCACTCGCTGCAGTGAATTCCCATACCGGGCTCCGGCCACTGTATCTCGTACCCAATGAAACCCTTGAGCTCGCCGGTAGCCATGTCATATGCTGTGAGGTTGAAGGTTGCAGGTAGGGTGAGGGTATCGTCAGAGGTGTCGTTGGCGAAGGGGGCTGGCCCATGGTTGTAGACGAAGTAGCCATCAGAGCCTGGGACGGTACCAAGGTTCTTGAGTGCGTTAAAGAAGACAGGCAGGAAGTTGAGGGGAGTAGCGTTGGTGCCTTGACAATGGGTCGTGACGGTCGAGTTGAGGCGATTCGAGAAAGGGTAAGGGCTGCAATAGCCGTCCGTGGTAAAGAGGATGCTGCTCAGGAAATGGGCAATGGTACCGTACCAGATGGCAGGGCGAGGGCTGACTTCGACCTTGACGCTAAGAGTTCTTCCTTCGACGGAGGGATTATTGGTACCACCCGTTGAGGCGGTTCCGTTGTCCGTAGGAACCCAGACGCCAGGGAGTCTGGCCCAAGGAGTGGGACCGTTCTCAAGATGGTTGCAGATGAAAGCTGAGACGCAGGTAGAGTTGCCGGAAGCACTCATACTGATGGGACGTCCGCGGTAGGTGTAACACCAGAGAGTGGTACCGCCGTCTTTGGTGCTCATGGCCTTGCCGGCACGCAAGAGCTCTGGAGTGCCGTCTTCGATCCAGGCAGACCAGGTATCTCCGTTTGAAAAAGTTGCAGAGGCACCCTCGTAGTTCCAGGGATATTTGCCGTCATTGTAGGGCATCTCGACAATCATGTCAGGAGGAGCAGGGTCGGTCTCTGCCGGAGTAGACCAGATTGCACCCCTGTACCAGTTCATCTGGCGGGAGGTGGACCACGTCAGGTTCTCTGGGTTGGACCCAATGCCGCAGTTAGCTAGAACCAAGTTCTGGTCAGCGTTGGTGTGGGCGAGGCGGTGCAGATTAAAAGGATTCAGGGAAGACATGGCCGTAAAGGCCTTGAGAGCGCGGGAGAAAGTCATCTTGTCGAGGGAGGAGAATCAAGGTAAAGACGGGCAATAGGACAGAACCAAAAAAGCGAGGGTTGGAGTTGAGGTGTTGAAGAAGAGTTTTGGGAGAGGAGATGGAGGAGAACGACGGAAGAACTAGAGCGAGTGGCAGAAACAGTCCAAGAGAACAGGCTGAAGACGGAAGGAGGTCACGATGGTTTGAAACTGGTTCTTGCCGTCTATCAATGTTTGAGCCTTGGAGGTTCCTACCACAGAAAAGATGGGCACGAGTACCTGACACTTGGCGTGTAAGTGACCACGTTGTGACCGAGTGGTGACTTCCCGCAGGAAACATCATCTCAGAGCAAAAGAGCAGGAAGGGAGGGGGGACAAAAGCCAGACTTCCATCAGAGAAGGAATGATACCGCTACGCTTGATTCCCTCCTGCCACTACCTTATGGGAATAGTCTGCACATGGCGATACTTCACACGGAGATAGCAAACATTGAAGCCACGATGTCGCTGCTAGAAGTTCAGCTTATCCTAGCAGGGACGGTAGAGCTGAGGTGCTAGTAATGGTCTCTTCTAAGGTATGGGCGGCATTCTCGAAAAGATCGAGGCCGACCATTGCCTTCCACTTTCTCATTTGAAAGCTCTCATGATAATTCGTCTTTGTATCTGATCAGGCAGGTGACATTCGGTCTGGCATATTCACTCTGAAGCCCGAACCGACGCACCCCTGCATCCTTGAACGATTCCTCGAAGTTTCCGTGACACGTGGAATGCTGGGTAGTGCCTCGTTTGATCACGGGCGGGCCATTGGATAGCATTCGCGGTCGGAGCTTGAACAGGGATGGACCTTGGCGACTGGGCGATCCTTCTTTAATACTGTCATTCCGTGATCGAGGGAGGTGGCCGTTTCTGCAAGGTCCGCTAGCAAGAGACGAGAAAAGTAGACAGAACAATCCTGAGTGATCGTTATACCAGCTCAAAGCAACATGGAGACTCAAGGTACTTTAACAGTGCTGTCGTATTAGGCAGAGGTGTAAGTTGGAAATTAATAATCAAAGAGTCCGAGATGTAGCGCTCGAAGAAGATGCACAGTCAGCAAACGTCTTTGGCCAATAAAACAGGGCAGATTGCTGGAGATCAGCCACCATCACCACACAGACTCCGCTGAAGCGGTCCGGGGGATGTTACCCAAGCACCGACGACCCCCCAATGACCCCCGGGCAAGGCCCAATGGACCCCAAAAGACCCCTAAAAATAAAGCCAAGCTGCATTGGGTTGGGAGTGACCTGTACCTTGTACGGAGTACCCAGCAGGAAGGAGCAAATAGTTCGTTGCCTGGACTTCCATGTATCTGTAGCTCCCCGCTCCATTCCTCTTTCACCACCCGCATCCTCGACCAGACAGAAAGAGACAACGCCCACGCCCATGCAGCTCAGCCGCACTGCAGCTCAATCTAGTCTAGTCACCTATTCGCACCTCTCTACCACTGTTTATTACCTTGCCCAGGTGCTATGCCATCGAAGCCATGTCGCAGAAAAACAACGCCTGGCGCCACGTTCGCTTCCCTCCTCCCCTTTCTCTCTCCGCGACGATGTCGTGTCGCCATCGCGAACAACCTTGACGCGGCTGTGAACCTTCGTCATCCTATTTGACGACTGGCTCTTTGAACCGCTACTCTGATCCTCCAACAACAACGATATCCCCGCAGTAGGGCCAATATCAAAGACTCCGAGCATCGGACTTCGCCTGTCTGACACCACCCAACAGTGCTGTTGGTGTGCCTGCCAATCAGATTGCGACCCTGCCTGAAGTCCTACGAAGGAAACCACCTCCAGATCCCCGAGGCTCTGCGATTCCACATCTTCCAAAAGCTAGAACCCTCGTCGCCTCGGGCATTATGGCGGCCCTCCCCTCCGGTTGGGAATGGGACTACGATGGCTCCCGCTGGTTCTACCGCTACAAGCCCAATGGCCATGTCCAATTCCACTTTCCGAAAGAGGGCGACGAGTTCCCAGACTTTGTTGACTGCTTTTCACCAGCCCCCGAGCTTGCCCCCGAGGAGAAACTCGAGAGCCAGCAACAGCTCAAAAGACGAACCACGGCCGATGCCAATCCCACATCCAAGATGCGCGCTACTGGCGGGCCCATGTCCGAGTTTGGTATGAGTCGAAGTGGCTTTGGAGGACCCATGGACAACGACGATGACGATGGCGACGGCTTCTTCTTCCAGCCCGAGAACTTCATGTATCTCGGCCCCGGTGCCTACGACGATATCAGCCCGGAAGCTGACGAGGACGAGCGCGAAGAGGTATTGGGCAGGCCGGGCGTCGGTGAAAGCGGCGAAGGCAGCAGTACCAAGAATCATGCGATGCTCGATGTTGCCAGTGTGAAGTCGGGCGTGTCGCCTCTGCAAAGCGAGACCAATACACCCTCCATCGTCAACAGTGTCCCTGTGAGAGGGGCCGAAGCTGTGTCTGAGGCACCAGCAGAGATGGCCACCGTCGAGCAGCCTCTCAATGTCAACACTGATACCAGTCCGGATCCCAGCCGGGCCCTCCCGCCATCTCCTGGTGTTCCACTCCTCGATTCAGTAGAAAAGCCCCGGCCAGGATTCCCAGCCAATTTCCATAGTCCGCCATGGGACCCAGTAGGAACCATGGCCGAAATGGCAACGGAACACACGGCGCCAGCTCGCATCGAAACCCATCCTGATCCGGTTGAGATGGCCGACACCGCGGTACTAGCTCCCATCGAGACGAATTTCGCCGACCTGGGTATTGCCGAGCTGCCAGAGCGGACGAGTCCGGCGGAAGCGAAGCCGCCGTCTGCCCAGTCTACCCACGATTTGTTGCACCAGACGAACATGAGTGATGCAGCCCTCTACGGCGCTACCTTTGGAACTGGATCCAGGCCTCAAAATTCGTCACCTTCTCAGAAAACTCAAGCGTCTCGAGGGCTCCAACGCGATTCGGCCACAGGGATAACGACTCCTGATCACTCTCTGCCAGAGGTGGTGCCTCTGCCGGCGCCGCAACCAACACAAAGCCCCTCACCAACTCCGAGCGGAAGTAGTCCTTTCAACATCAAAAGAAAGCCTTCCAAGTCGGCGGGCAAGCAGACTCAATACCAACCCTATGTACCTGGGGCAGTCAGCAGCATAGCTTCAGAGCAGTCGAGCACGACTGACTATAAACGCCGAGAACATCGTAATTCCCTTGCTCGGGATGGATCCCTAATGATGGGACCACGAAACAAGTTCGACCAGACAAGTATGCCGTCTGTTCTCAAGCCTCCTCAGCTACCACCCAAAGTTCCCATTGATTCGTCTCAAGCCCCGAGCCCTCCCTCCAATGACCAAAGAGCCACCAACACAGCCAGTCAAACTTTACGTCTCGTCACACAGGGGCCTTTGCAACACTTCCCATCAGTGCTGAAGCCAGCAAGAGGACAGCCACAGAACAGGGCTCAGGAGCCGTCACCTCCGCAGTCAGCATCTACCGATAGCTTGAGCAAGAAAGGGACGGAGAAGGAGACGCAATACGTGGCATTTCAACCAGGTCTAGGTCTCGCAAGCCAGAAGGCATCCCAACCGTCTCATCAAGACAATACCCAAGCTTTTGACAATCCCGCCACAATCTCGCAGTCATCTCATGGTGGCCAAAGTCCTGACGTTCAACGACCTGAGACGACGCCTATTCAGTCATCGCAAGATCGGTACCAAATGGCCAGCCAAAGTGGTCGGCTTCCTGCAACAAATACCCCACCTGCACCTGCCTTCCTACAGCGCCCGCGAGCCCAGAGTGATGTTCACCAACAAACACTTTCCAATGCTCAATACCGAACGTCGATAGACTCCCCTCGCGATAGTACGCAAAGACATGATTCTATACCGGACGGGGGACGACCTCGACAGACGTCATATGCTTCAAGCGAGGTCTCGTCTCTTGGGCCACCGACAGGCAGCCAGTCATCTATCCCCCTTCAAACTCCGTCGCCGTTAGATAGCGACGGAAGACGCCATTCTTCCGGCTTCTTCCATGGTGCAAACTCGAACTCTTACTCCTCCCAGTCCGGTGCTGGGTTCGGCACCGCAGGCCTGAGGACAGCATCTACTTCTGGTCCCTCTGCTGCATCGACGACAACGGAAAATGCCCGACAAGCCTACAAACCCGCAGAGAGGCAGGCTCCTCCAGCTCGACCAGGGAAGGTTCCAGTGTCGTCGGTGGTCACGGCTCATCCTGATCAAGGTATGGAGTCTCAAACTTCTGGCGAAACTTACACTCCTTCGTCGAATCGCCGTCACTCTCTGCCTCCTGGTAGTATGACGAACCAAATAGCGCCACCGGTGTCTCAGCAATCGCAGCCAGAAAGATATGAGTTGTCAGATCAGAGTCAAGGCCAATCTCGGCCTCATTTCGACTCGGTGCATTGGGAGACAAGCGGCACTAGTGCTGCTGAGGCTGCTCATGGCATTTCAAGGCCGTATTCGGTGCATCCTACGGGTATGCAACCAGGAGAATCTGGCGGCCCAGCCTCACAACCACCGTACCCAACCGAGGAAAATCGGCAACCCGCGATGTTGGCAAATCACCCGTCCCGTCCTACAGTGACTCTTCCTCCCCAACAAGCTCTTGGTCCAATGAGCCCTTCCACGCCTATAAGATCTCCCGGTCATCTACTCCACCCTATTGACGAGCACAATGAGATTGACCATATGATGACCCCTGCTCCTACTACTTCGGGAGGACGAAATTCTTCTGATACCCATGGGCATCCTTCCGAATCGAGTTCCGCTCCCCATCCAGCCTACTACCCAGTAGCGAGCAACCCTCCGCAACACCAATCTGCTTTCAACGTTGCAGGTCTACCTCAGTCAAGCACAACACGCCCAGGATCAACCCCGCCTGTCATGCAACATTCGGCAAACGGAAAGGAAAAGGGTGGCTGGCTGTCCAAGTTCAAGAAAGGAAGCTCTAGCAAGTCCGGTTTCCTTCAAAAGGCGCCGCCGCCGCCGCCACCACAGGGTATCCAGATAGCTCAACATCCGCTGCAAACCGGGCCTCTATCGTCAGCTTGGATGTCCGGAAACCCTATAGCTACCAGCGTACCGACAGATCAGAGGTTAAGCCAACAAGCAATGCCAGTCATGTCGGGACAATCAAGTATTGTGCCCAACGCCCAATATACGCCATTTGTCCCGTCAAGCAAGCCAGAGTCTTCGAGTAACCAGGCCTTTGCTCCAAAGACTAGCAGTCTTCAGCAAGCGCCACTTCGCCAGAATTTCTCGGCTCAGGGCAACGCGTCCCTCGCTCCAGGGCCAGTGTCTCAGCCTATCTCTCAAGCTCAAGAGCACTATTTGATGGGAGAACAAGTCCAACAACGCTCAGCCAGCGTGCCACCCGGAGGCTTGGTGCTGCCTCCAGGTTCACCGAAGGACCATATGGACAATCTCTCAGATGCTGCTTCTGTTTCAACCATGGATGTGTCTGAAGCTCAAGCACAACCGGTACTACGGCCGCAGCTTGTCACAGTTGAGCGGCATGCTGTTCAGCCAAACCGAGAACAACGCGCGCCTCAAAATGTTGGCCACACGGCCCAATCGGCCCGACCGACTTCTGAGGGGCGTCCTCTTGATGCCAAGGCGCTTGCAGACAGCGAATTGACTGTCCCGCCTCTGTTCTCGAAGCCTCATCCTAAGACTACTGTCAGCGCCGTCCCTGTTAACCAAGGTCCTGTTGCTCAAAACAAGTGGGCGAAGAAACCTGCTGTGGACTATTCTGGGGATGATTGGGGCGATGATCCATGGGACTGTAAGTAGACACGTAGATGAGATTCAGCCATGCTATTATGAGTGGCCCATATCGGTTACAGGAACCTTCTCTGAGTGGCAATATCTAGATGTAAGCAGTCTGCAGATACCACATGGTTTTGGTCTCTAGCATTCGAACCAATTTATAATGACTACCTACATTTCCAATGCAAATGAACATCGCGAAGAGCATTGCAAGAAGTAGAGCCAAGCCCAAACATACTTGGTAGAGTATCTCCCTGTTCTGCAGACCTTGAATCTACATGAGACTATCATCGGCAAGGGGAAAGTATTGAGGTAAGTCACGATGAGAAATGGAACTCCGGCCGTTGCTTGATCTATGGCTCAAAATCAAAATCTCGGCCATGGAAAAGGTCACGCCCTCCACCAGCGGGCTGTATGGGATGCACAATGATTTGCAGTTATAGGGGAGTTAACATACCTGAGTCGGTCTTGACTCTTTCACTCCCCACTTTCAAGAATACCATCCTGACCTCACTTTGGCTTATCTAATCTAGTGCATCCCTTCCTCCGTGGCAAAATCAATGTGAGCCGTCATGGTAATCTAGGGCATCGTCCTCATCGGCAAAGGATTTGCTCACTCCCCGGTGTCTATGGTGGCCATGCGTGAATATACTTGAGACAAACAGCGCCGACAGCACACATGACACACCAAAAAATGTCACCGCGAACGCCATCTTCTTTGTGGCATATGGTGTCAGCAACATCATTGGGCCCCAATTCTTCCAAGAGACTTAGGCGCTACTTTACCCGCTCGGCATGGGTGCTATGCTAATCTTGCACGCGCTGAGCATCTTCGCGATAGGGCTTTACATGCTGTGCTGTTGGAGGGAAAACCGGAGGATAGTGAGATTGGATGCTGCGAGGGGAGATGGCCGAGTATCAATCTGGACATGGACTTTTAGAACTTGATAGACTGTGAGAACGTAGACGGTTTGTTGAGAGAAAATTGAGAAGTATGGATGCGAATAAAACCCCGCAAATCCAGAGGATGCTTTGTCGGCTTTCACGAGTGGTGCGGTACTGGTCAGTGACAAAGCGTCCTCAAAGACTTTGCCTGACTGATTGAACTGCCTTCGTTGATGGAATGATCGCCTTTGTTTACTGATCAACGAGGTAGACACATCGACCTTTGTTCAAAGTCGCGAACAACAATAGGTCCTTGTACCTTCAATAGCATTGTTTTAAGGACTGCCAGCTTTGACTTCAAAGCTGTTGATTGACCCTCAAATTCTCTGCGCCCATTACTGGAAGAGTACATATTTCATCTTCATCCTTCCGAACGTCGATTGCATTACACCACTATCATCATCATAGCAAAGCGGATCACCACCAAATCAGCACCAGACAAAGTTCAGTATATACCCAAATCCCACTAACCAACATAACCAGAAACTTGATATCTACTAAGTTGACTGCAGCAATGGCACCACCATTCCTTAGCCGTCCCGAGATTCAACACCTCGTTGGAAACTTCTTGGTCGATTTCTACAATCGTGAGGACGTCGAAAATTGGGAAGATGTGCAAAGAGCCACCATCGATGCTATGGGAGGGATCATCGTCCAGCTTGCTCGGGGGCACGCGCAGGCGCAAATGGAAGGTACCCACACCTCTCCGGAACCGATGGACTTGGACAATGGTGAGGCTGTACAACCTGAAGAAGCAGATTCAGATGACACTTCGGATCCAGATGACTTTGTGAGAGACGACATCCCTCCCCAGGCACTCAAGAACACTTCCGATTCCCCAGAAAAGCCCGATTCAGGCTCGGATTTTGAGAGCTCTGCTTCGAAGAATCCTCGCAGCGGTAAAGGAGCAATCAAGACTAAGAACACCCCACGGAAGAACGCCAAGGTAAAGTCTGACCGTGTTGCAAGCCTCGAGGCACGCAAGACGAACCGGTGTGTTTTAGGATGTGACTTGGGCTACACGACGACGGATCGTCTCAAGAGAGTAAGTTCATTTCCGTTCCCCCTTGATTTCCAAGACTTTCTGAGGACACATCAGCTAACAGCATGTGTAGCATTACAAATCTCACCACCCCGGTTGGGAGAACGCAGTTGTGGCTGCTGGCCAGACCATTTTTGCCAATCAGCGCAGCTACACGAAGCGAGACACATGAAAGGGGGCATTATTCTCTCCTATGAGAGGTTTGTCGTGTGCATGATTTTGCTGATATGAGTACAGAAAGGGGTTTTTTAGTTTTTGTCTGACTTTGATTTTCAATATACGGGTTTCAGATCTTGGGCGCTGATGTGAGGAGAGAGAGTGTGATATCCAAGCAGGACAGTGTGAATCAAGATTGAGTCAGGGGATGGTTGAATAGTTGATATGTCAGAAAGCCCCATGAAGCTCGCTTTTCAATCCTAGTTCTTAACTTGCCTCGCGTAGATAAAAGATCGACGATCCGTCCGACTTTGTTTACTACTCTGCTGTTACCCGCGCCGGCACCCGGCGTTGCGGTTGCGCCAAGGCATGTGCCGCAAGGGGGCTACCGCACCACTCAGGTGAGTGCGCGTAAATTGTCCCTATCATTGACAACTTCCTAGACACATTCTAACTCTAGTAGACGCCTTCGACCAGGGCCAATGTGACAAGGTAATGTTGGACCATTCAGACGGTCGATAGCTACGGAGAATTTCATGGGTGACGGCGGCGTCTATTCGTCCATGTCATCCCACCGGCCCGTTGAAACAGACCGTCAAAGTTCAAGGGATGTCCCGCTAGCTTGCCTGATGACAGGACCACCGGTTCATCTTAGGCTCGGGGGCTAATGGGCTTGGCCCACTTACAAACGTCAAGTCGGCGTTCGGCAGTCAAAGTTGATGTCGGACTCCAGCCGGCAGCATGGCGAAGTATAAGGTGATCAGCAAGCCGGCGCAATGCAAAATCTCAGTTCAAGGCGTTGTCTTTCCATCTTCCGCGGGTCGTAACAACTCAATTCATTCTTTTCTATCACTTTGGCAAATCTGCCTTTCCGTTCCTTATTCCATTTCTCGCCCAACATGAGGTGCTCAACTTTCCTCGCCTTGGCTGCATCAGCCTCTGGCGCGTCCGCACATTACTTCTTCCCCCATCTCATCGTCAATGGCAACTTCACCGGCTATAACGAATACGTCCGCGACAACAGCGCGGGCTACATGCCCTTCAAGAACGGCTACGACAGCACCGACCTCCGATGCCGTACCGGTTCCATGGAGCACGCCGCCACCACGGGCGTCTACAAGGTCAAGGCTGGCGACGAGGTGGGCTTCGGCCTCAACTTTGGCGGCACGATTCAGCACCCGGGTCCCATGCAGGCCTACCTCTCCAAAGCACCGGGCGACGTGCGCGAGTACGACGGCTCCGGTGACTGGTTCAAGATCTATGAGCTCGGACCAAAGTCCTTTTCTAGCGAGGGAATCGAATGGGGCGTCACCAATGTTGGGAACTTCACCTTCAAGCTGCCTGAGGAGACGCCTGCTGGGCAGTACCTTATGCGAATCGAGCACATTGGCGTCCACGGAGCTGGTGACTTTGGTGGTGCTGAGTTTTACTTCAACTGTGCGCAAATCGAAGTTGAGAGCGATAGTACCGCCGTCCCCGGCCCGACTGTCAAGATCCCCGGATTGTACGACGGCCACGAGCCCGGTATCGAGTTCTACATGTACCGCCCGTGGATCGTCAACTTCACGATGCCTGGACCGGCTAGATGGCCTCAAGCTCTTGTGGAGAACGTCACCGCACAAGGTGTTAGCGTGGCTCCTACAGCTACTCCTTGGACACTCCCGGCAGTCACTTCCACAGTTGGGGGACAGGACATTTCATCCTCGGCGGCGGTAGTCGTGCCCACAAGCCTCGCCTCCGCAGCAGTGCCTTCTGCCAACGCGACTTACTCGTACGCACCTACGACTGCGGTTAGCGTAACTGAATCAGCGGCCTCGAAGAGCGAGATCAGCGAGTTGGTGGCGTCTACCGTCAGCTCAGCTGCAACTTTGAGTGCAACGGCTGTGCCTCTCACCACCACTTCAAAGAAGTCTCGATGCCCACCTCGAAGCACGGTGATCAGCACGGTTTACGTTACTGCAAGTGCTTGAGCCCGTCTCCAACTCTTGAGATCACACGAGCCATGCGATTCTGGGAGTTGCAAGAGGCTAGCTACTTGTTCTATGTTGAGATCTGATAGCCTCATCATCAAAATTAGTGCAGCCAACGGCATGTTCGGTCACGCGTCCAAGGTTTGACGAGCATGGGAACTTGAGCAAGAGTTTCATTCTTCACTTCTAAATGTATCAATATTCTTAACACATCAAATATCAAGGCTTTTTAGGTGCCACAAATCAGGACTCAGCAGAGTCATTGATGTCACTTGTAATAACAGTGCGATTTTATCAACTATTTCACGTTCTTAGTACTTAGCACAGACGACCGTTTCAAGGCGCAGCCTTTTAATAACACGTGTCTGGATCCTACTGCATCTCAAAAGTAAAATACCGAGTTACACCTTCCTCCTCTTCAGTCATCTTGATTAGTAGAATCCAGGCCTAAAAACAGGAGTGAACGCTAAAACTGGCTACAGGCCATGCCTTGCCGCCTCCCGTTCATCCTCCACGAGCCCTTATCAAGTCTTTGCGACCTCTTCTCCACCTATGTTCAGGGTCATGGTTGGCTAGTTCTGGCTGTTGCAGGGCGCCTGGTGTACCTGCACAAAGTAACCTGTTGGCTGTCATCTCTCAGGCCATGGTACGGTTGGCTCTCGGGACACTGTGTCGCACAGCAGCGTGTACCGGACCAATGTGATCGAATCCAGTAATGTCTTCGGAAGCCAACATGTTACGTTTTACTTGCTTGTCTTTCCATGCCAATCAGGAATTTGAATCATCGCAGCGCGCCCGTCGCAAGCTACAGGGATGGAAGCCCGTCTTCCCTCCACAAAATAGTTGAGGAGCCAGGCTGGGCGTTAACACCAGTCAGCCTGCGTGCCGACATCATCCTGGGACTGACTACTTAACGAGTTATTCGAACAACAATAGATTCTTGGCTAATACAGGCGCTCGCATATCTTAAACCGCGATTTCTTGCCCTGCTATGTGTCCTCAGTTTGGGAAAGCCGAGTGACTACGGGGAAACCTTAGTTAAGTTGGCAAGCAGGCCGGTCCTTGTACCCGTACCAACGGCCGTTCAAGTGCTTTCATACTAGATGTGTGTCAGCACATGTAATGACAAATCCACCAACATCGACACTCGGACTCGACGCTGAGTAGAGGAGGACGATATGCCCTTCTTGATGGACATGTCAAGAAGTAATCAGCTCTGATCATTGCACCCGCGGAAATAGATAGTCAAAGATCGTCTGGTTCAGCCTACTCAGGGACCCCATATGGCAGTGTGAGGGCGCACCCTCTTCCGCTGTAGACTGCTCAAATTCTTTCTCGCCGCGTAGCTTGTCAACCAAGGCTTTTGGCTGTTCTTTCGGGAAATGACCTCCAAGCGCATCCAAAACTCAAACTGGCGTTAGGATAATGTCTACAAGCCCCTTTAGTCTGTGCTCGTTCACACAGCGTAGGACCTCGACTGGAGACTTGGCGCTGAAAGCCCATATTCCTTCGAAATCCCCATTTGAAGTCCATATCCCGACGGAGCATCTGGAACATAAGGGCAGTGATCGTAGCGTCCGAGCCACCGCATAGCAGGGATCTGCCAAAAGCAGGGTTCTGGGCATGAAAGGCAGCGCCAAATTCGTAAACCCCGTCGTTGACGACGGCAGCCCTGTTCCGATGCTCGAAACATAGGGCTATTCCGACGAGGCAGCCACCCATACTGATACCCAAGAGCAACACCCTGTTTGCGGTAACTATGGACTGGTCAAGAGCAAAGTCAACAATCGCGGTGACTAGAGTCTCCCAACCACTCATGAAGTAGAGACGCTGCTCTCTCAGAGCCTCGCCTTGTCCCGGGCTATCGAAGAGAATAATACTGAAGCTTTCTTCAAGGGCTGCCTTGCCATTCATGTAGAAAATCCTTCCCTGGTATGGTCAAATCCGTCGTTGGCTGCATCATCGTTGCCGGAAGAGTAGTCCTCTTTCGGAAGATTTGTACCTTCTGACCTTTGTATGACATGTGGTCAGCTGCGAAATAAGATGCCTCGGTACTCAAATCGATGAGTTTCTTGGACAGTTCATCTTCGAAAACGTTGTGTCGCCAGCAGAATTCGGCTGTGCGGCAATAGGCCGAAGAAACGTTAAAAGGCATGCTGCGCAGGTCGATTCCTCTTCGACAAGCTCGCTTTTGCGATTTGAACGGCGCGGTCCTCGACCAATTTCTATTCTCAAAGCCAGCTTTTTTTGTCGCCAGAGGGAATGCGAGAGTAAACTGAGATGACTTCGGCTAGCTCTGCCCCCACATAACGAGAGTAGCTGCTGGCTCGAAGAGCTTCGTGAGCGAAAGACCCATTGTCGGGGGAAAAGTGTTTGTGAAGAGTTGCCATGAAGCTAGTGATTGATCACGAGATTCGTGTTGCGAACAGGGTACTTCTTGCTTGATTCTTTCAGATACCATGTCTCTTGATGAAGCTACTTTTTATCCCACTTTTTGCAAGCTATCAATATACTGGTCCAAAGTCTGTTGGGTGTAATGTCCGTTGCATCCCCGTGGCAATTCCCGTTGTTACCTCCGATTTCGTCTCCGCCTAAGTGCCTCCGTTGCCGGCCATTGCGTGTGGGTGTCAACACCAATTTAGGGTGACATACATGATGACGTAGCTTAGTAATTCAATAATGTAACTGGCGGAAATATGCCCCGAGCAACGGAGTAATGCTCGAGTAGCTGCCATTTCACATCTGAACAAGATTGCGCTACACTGGCGTGTGAACCTCAGTTAACTGCATACGATCACGATTCTACCACTGTAAATCTTAACGAAAGCTGTCGCGAACACTAGACACGTTTGTTATACAAAGTGTGTTGAAGGCCCCGCTTCGTCACCTTGGACAATATGACGCGCGCCGAAGGCCAGTTCTCGGTGGATTGGGACGATGGCGATAACGATCCGTTATGTCCAAGAAGCTACGGTAAGATGAGAAAGTGGTTAATCACCATGGTGGTTTCACAAATGGCGCTCTGCATGTAAGATCTATGAACACTAGGCGCCCTAGGGGTCTGTGTAACTGCTAACACTTTGTACCTGGAAAGTACATGTGCGAGTTCCATTTACACTTCAACATATACCAACCTAGAGTCAGAATTTCACAACTCAAGAATCGTATCGACTCTAGGACTATCAACCTTTGTTCTCGGTCTGTCGCTAGGGCCGATGCTCTTCAGCCCTCTGAGCGAGTTCTATGGGCGGAGGCCGATCTACCTGATATCGTCCACTTGCCACCTCCTCTTTCTGATCCCACAAGCGACAGCAAGAAACATAACCACACTGGTTGTCCTTCGATTTTTGGACGGTTTCTCAGGGAGTGCTTTCCAGGCTGTATCCGCTGGAACTGTGCGGGATTTGTTTTCAAATGACGAATTGCAGGCGCCGATGCTCTTATTTTCCATCTGTCCATTCATTGGACCAAGCCTAGGACCCCTAGTCGGCGGGTTCATCAACTATTATACCGGGTGGCGCTGGACGTTCTACGTCCTCATAATGTGGTCTTTTGTCCTAGAACTGGGAATTATCTTTCTTGTCCCCGAAACTTATCGTAAGATTGACAACCCCCCTCGAAGACCTCGTAACTGACATAACACATCAGATCCCACTCTCTTACAGAATAAGGCTCGCAATCTTCGGCAAGAAACAGGGGATGAGCGTTGGAGGGCAGCTTCGGAGATGCATTCTAAATCAGTGCTTAGTGCAGTTGGGGTATCATTACTGCGGCCTTTTCAACTCCTCATTTTTGAGCCTATGTGCCTTTCTCTCTGCCTCTTCTCGGCTTTGCTACTTGGCATACTATACTTGTTCTTTGGAGCTTTCCCTCTTGTCTTTAGAGAGACTTATGGCTTCAATCTCTATCAGATTGGTTGTAGCTTTTTGGGTATATTGGTTGGTATGATGCTGGGTATTGCCACCGATCCAGTGTGGCATAGAGTCAGAATGAGACTTATTTTGGAGAACAAGGGCCAAGGAGAAAACGAGGACGGCAGTGAGCCTGAGTTCCGACTCCCACCCGCCATGTTCGGGTCTATCCTTGTTCCCGCGGGGATTTTCATGTTTGGTTGGTCCATGTATCCTTGGGTGCATTGGATGGTTCCCATTGTCGGTACGGCAATGTTCGGGGCCGGGTAAGTTCTAAGTTTTTGTTGATGCAGGCAATTTTTCACGCCTTGTAAACAACTTGCACTAACACAGTGTTGTTTTTTACAGAAATATCCTTCTCTTTACTGGTATATGGACATTTCTGGTGCGTAGCCCCTCCCGAGAAGGGTTATCAACACTACATGAAGTCACTAACAGAGAGTAGGTGGAAGCTTATCCCAGGTTTGCTGCCAGTGCACTCGCTGCCAATTCTTTTGTCCGCTGCTTGGCGGCTGGTAAGTGTTTTCTGACGAACTACAGAGTCTTGAGACATAATAACACTAATCCTTGAATAGCTGCATTTCCGCTCTTTGGAAATCAGATGTATGTGAGTCTTGGGTTCCAATGGGCCTCGTCACTACTGGGCTTCTTGGCCATTGGAATGATGGTGTTTCCTTACTTATTCTTCAGATATGGAAAGTTTATCCGGGGCAAGAGCAAGTTTGCCGATGCGACGAGCTCTCTGTAAGAGTTGTCAAGTATTTTCACAATTTCACGATATAGACATAAAAGTACAGGCTTCAGATTATTAAATCAATGTCATCTTTACGTATAGCCCTAAGAGAATAGTGCTAAGGCTCAACATCTGTAAGCATTGGTTGATGATTAGTCTGTTCAGAATAAGGGAAATTTAGAGAACAAAACGAGTTAATTCCATTGATACTTCCAGTCTGCCTGGCGCCTTCTCTAAGTGTACCATGTTGGCTCAGGAATCTCGCCCAGCAGCTGATATCTACCAAGCTCACGGTTCTTGTAAGACACAGGATCATGCAGACTGTGTGTCCTGATATCCCTCCAGAATCTGTCAAGGCCAACCTTGGTTCCGGTGGCTTTCGCACCCGTCACCTCGAACACACCGGACGTAACCCGAAGTCCCGTATCAGTTGCCGTGACCTTGACGCTAGCTACCCACTCCGCTGCTTCTCCTCGAGCCTTTGCAGTGACCTTAGCCCTAGTGGATGGATCTCCAGAGTACTTGTACAAGGCATCGATCTCGAGACCTGCCTTGTCGGCAAGTGCATCGGCTGCACGGAGATGAGCTAGGAAGTTTCCGTATGTAGACAGAATGTAAAACTCGTCCTCGGCTTTTTCCTTGTTCTGAGGTCCATTGTCAGTGTGTCATCGGTATATATAATCGATTGAGGCTGTTCCAGCACTTACATCCCCGCCGAAGGGCCAAGCTCGTGTGTTTTTTCTAGTGTAGGCCGACGCAAAGTCCAATGCGCCCCAAGCAATACCGATGTAGAAGTTGCTAAAAACGAGTTGAATACTGTTTCTAAAGGTTAACTTCTGCCGATGGAATTATTGAAAATTGATCTCTTACGTGGGAAGAAGTAGACTCGCAAACGGGATCTTGAGAATTGAGTCATCTGGCTTTTTCTCGGCGGCATTCCATCCCAATGCATCAGACCAGGGCGCAGTGACGTTCTCAATTTTGACGCTTCCCGACTCACTCAGACGCAAGCCAACATTATCCCAGTTGTGGGAAAAGATGATACCCGGCTGGTCAGTCTTCACCAACGCATACAGATGGTCCTCCGTACCCTCAAGGACACCTTCGAGGACCGTCAAGTCGGAGATGACTCCACCAGTGTTGAAGTTCTTGAAGCCATTGAAAATGACATTGTGGCCGTCTGAAGTGATCTTGTGATCACTGTCGCGAGGGTTTACAGCACCACCAACAAAGTAGTTATTAGAAATGATGAGATCCTGAGTGCGGTCTGCTTGATCTGAACTACCAATGACGTTGGCCGTCGTTGACCATAGCAAGTGGTATCCCAGAAGCATGCCAATTGATCTATTCCAGTCCATCAGAAATTTACTCTCACAAGTTACTCGATCCTCGGTCAAACTCACCCGTCTCCCTTGGCAACCTCGCGAATCACCTTGTATCCGACACTCCACGGCTGCTCACCACCGCCATACTTTTTCCATCCTAGGACTTTGAGGAGACCGGAGTGCTTTAGCAGCGCAATCTCAGCTCTGGGTGACTTATTCTCCCTTTCACGCTGCGCAGCGTCTACGGCTAGCACATCTGCAACTTCTTTGGCTCTCTGAAGCCACGCGGCTTCGTCCGTTGGGAGTGAAGACCATTTCTGCTGGTACTCGTCGTAGACTTTTGGGTCCGTTGCAGGAACCGAACGGGCGTTGCTACTCATTTTGACCGACCTTTGAGATAAGGCTCTTAGGTTCTCCGAAAAAATGATTGCTTTTCAGCGTAATTTTAGGGGAGAAATCAAGCGAGGAAGATGTCCGCAATAGGCGGGAAATAGTTGAGTGACATGTAAGAGGACTGGAGGAATATTGTCTTACATCTATCTTTGGAGTTAAAATGCGCCAACATGTATCTAAATATGCTCAAAAGCCGCCCGCCCGTGCCGCCTCCGTAGTCAAACGGTTCAACGATAGCCGGCACTTCGTTCCGCCGTCGCCAGTGGCGCGAGGGTCCACAGCTATGTTGTGATATGTCGCAATCGTAACGACTTACGATACGCGCATGCGTATAGCTCTCACCTCCGCATCTGGCCCCCAACCCCATGCCGACAGATAACGAGGCATGCAGGGACAAGGTCATATTGTGAGCTGAACTGTATTAGTCCACGGACAATCGCTTGTTGAGAATGATTTCGTGATTGAGCAGATATTCTATCTGATGTTGAAAGTATCAACATTTCGGCAACTGCTCTGACTTGTTGGAGAGAGCACTCTAAGGAGGGGTCTGGTAGCACGAGGATGGCATCATACGCGCTATTCTGTAGCAATCACAGCATAAACTCGCAGTGCACCAATCAGGCTTCATTGCAAATGTGCTTCGTTCAATTGAGTTTCTGACTAGGAAGTGCCGTGAACACTCCACGTTGGTTGTCCATCTTTGTCACCCGCAACATCAATCTGGCTGGTTATGGAAGATGCAGAACAGAAGATGCCATATATCATTAGTTCGCTTTGCTCTCACGCTAGAATGTCTATCTAGTTCATGACAGTTTCAGTGGATATCAACAGCTGACGACTAGATCAGACTCTAGTATAAGATCACGTTCTTCGAGTGGGAACACAAGTTCTGCAATTAGGAAATGTCTGGTACCTAGATCCTGGCTTTGCGACTACGATTCAACTCTGCCACTTCGATACAAGACCGCTTACGATCACTATCTTCTGTCCTCTAATCAAGCTGCTATTACCCTTTCTTCTGGTGGACGCGTTACGGTTCTATGCCCAATCCTCCAAATCTGTCAACGAATCGTAGTGATGCCCCAATTGTACAAGCTACTCGGTCTTCTTTCGAGTCTTGGGGAAGTACTGAGATGTATCTCCCAATGGTAACTCTACCAGAGAGTCCTTCAGCAAGAGGTGGAAGGTCAAGTACCTGAGTTGTGTTAGCTGAGCAAAATTGTTCTCAGGAACAGCTGGGAGCCTACCATCCAACAAGCCCAGCGAGGAAGGCGAAAACACCACCGCTCTTCTTCAAACCAATTGAGGCGCTCTGGTGGCCATCGGCAGCAGCAAAGTAGCTAGCAGCAACTAGTACAAAGCATAACTCAACGAAGATGAAGATCAGGATGTAAACGACATTGGTCGGTAAGGTAGCGACTAAATAGGCGAGAACGAAGACACTCCAAACTGCGCGAAAGTCCTTGCGTTAGTTTTCATATGCACTGCGATGATTGGCAATATCACTCACTGATCATAAAAAGCCCGAGAGCATTATTCAACTGCTTCGTGTCATCGCCATATGCTGCCGCAACCCCAAAAGAGGGAGTCAAAATGGCACCGTAACCTGCGTAGAAGAGGCCTGGATGCAGATTGTCAGTCACAACGGGCGTATAAAATATTCCCTCCGAGCTTACCAAATGCACTGAAGACACTGTAACCAAAGCCGTTCCCTCCTGTCAGCTCCCACTGCGCAGAAATTACTAGGCCAAAGGCAGCTAGAAAGAAGAAGTTTGCGATATAGACATTGGTTGTTGTTACTCCTCGCCACTCCATTAAGCTCAGCGAAAGTGTCGTCAAGGTTGTAGAGAAAGCTCCGATCGGAAGTGAGGTCTATGGACAGTTTGATCAGTAAACAGAATTGACTCGATCGCAAAATCACGGGAAATTGTGCTCACAGCTGCTGTGGGAAGCGGTCTTGGTGCAGTGAATCGAGGCCCATGATGGATCGTCTCGAATCTCTCGAAGGTAGGCTCCGGCTTCACAGACTCAACCCCTTTCTCGCTTGCCCCGTTGGGGGCTGAAGAGTAGATGGACATTGCGGTTGGAGGATTACACCAGACGAAGCAAAATGTAATAGAAAGACAACGTAAGAAGTTGCAGCCAGCAAGTCTGTCTTTCGGATCTTTCAGCAGATAAATCATTGAGAACTTAGCTGCGAACCCGACGACACGGCCCTGGTCTCAGTGAGTTTCCCGAAAATTTGCTCTACCCTTGCTCATCGCATTGAGACCTCAGAGAGCTCAGACTCGTCTCAATCAATTGAACCAGATTAAAGTTCGCAGATCTTGGTTCAATACCACATCGCGCCATGTTGGGGTGGATGCAGCAATCGTAGCGTGGGGAAACCCCGGTCAACTGGGATCTGGCGATCTCGTCATTGAGTTGATAATGGTGCAATTGCCTCACTTGGAGAGGTCGGTTGAGCGGCAAAGCACATAGCCTTTCCCCTCAGCACCATGTGGTCCTCCAACTGCCGTAACTGGCTCCGACTCTATCAATCTAAATTCCGGCGTGCGTCGGAATGTGGTATTTTGAAAGCACGTCAGAGCTAGGCATAGCTTCGCCAATGTCGTCAAACCGACGGAACCTCCTCCGCAACGTCAATCTGGATATATCGCGCAGCACGCGCCAGTAGGCAAAACCTACATCTTGTTACATGCAGAATGAGGGTTTGATATGTGCTTATCTTATTTCCTCTTCTGTCGATGTTGTCATGTCACTGGCCTTGGTGACAGGAGTTGAGAATCTGCCCTTTCTCTGTCCCCCGTCTCTAAAGTGTGCTTGACCCATATCATTCTTGTTTTCAATCCGCCTCAGTCCTACCGACTCAAACTGAAAAAAGGCGTTCAACTCTTCTCGTAATTACGACTGACTTGTCACTTGACAACCACCGACCCTACGGTTTTCATTCAGCCTCAGCGAAGATGACCGCTCAACCACATCCCCTCAACAGCGACCCTGAACGGCTGCTTTTCGCGTGTGTATTTCTTTCTCAAAAGTTGCAGAAAAATGGCTAACTTTACAGATACTGGGTACCCAATGTCTCAGGTGGCTTGATCATCAGCAAGATCCCGCAGAGGACAAACTGGGACCTCGCCAGCAACGTCAAGTATGCCAAGGCTGCGGAGCAAGCTGGTATTGAATACGGCCTCACACAGATTCGCTTCACGTCCGGGTATGGTGCGGCAAACCAACACGAGTCTGTGTCCTTCTCGCAGGCAATTCTCCAAGCAACAGACACAGTCAAGATCATTGCTGCTATTCTTCCTGGCCCCTGGAACCCCACGACGGTGGCGAAGCAGATCGCCAGCATTGATCACTACAGCAATGGCCGCATCGCCGTGAATATCGTGAGCGGTTGGTTCAAGGGCGAGTTTACAGCAATTGGCGAGTGGTGGCTAGAGCATGCTGAGCGCTACCGTCGCAGCAATGAGTTCATTCGCTGTCTCAAAGGCATCTGGACCGCACCCGAGGACACAGGCTTCACCTTCGGGGGTGACTTTTACCGCTACAGGAACTATGTGCTCAATCCCAAGCCAGTCCAGAAGCCCCATCCCGAGATCTTCCAGGGCGGCAACAGCGACGACGCAAGGAACAATGGCGCTGAGGTTAGTGACTGGTACTTCATGAACGGCAATGACCTCGACGGTTTCCGTAATCAGATTGCGGACGTCAAGGCCCGCGCAGCAAAGGTTGGCCGCGAGGACCAGGTGCGCTTCGCGGTGAATGGCTTTGTCATCGTTCGCGAAACCGAAGAAGAGGCAGTTCGCGTGTTGCAGGAAATCCAGGGCAAGGCGGACAAGGAAGCCGTCGAAGCGTTCCGGGCCTCTGTTCAAGAAGCTGGCGCCAGCACCTCAAACAAGAAGGGCATGTGGGCCGACAGCAAGTTCGACGACTTGGTTCAGTACAACGATGGCTTCAAGACAAAGCTTATCGGCACTAAGGAGCAGGTGGCTGAGCGACTGGTCCTGTTAAAGAGTCTGGGTGTTAACCTAGTGCTCACTGCCTTCTTACACTATGATGAAGAGATTGAGCAATTTGGACGAGAAGTTTTGCCCCTGGTAAGGCAATTTGAAAAGGAGGGACGTGGCAAGGACGCGAACCTTGAGATCGAGAGAACAGGAGATGTGTACCGTAAGAAATAGGATCACAATACCAACTGAATATGGATACGCTGCATTTGTTGCAAAACATTAACCTTTACTCTATCTGTGTAACACAATCTTGGATCGCACCATTGCCTTAGATTTGCTCAAACCTTCAAAGCATCCCTGACAGCATTATACCCCTCAAACACATCTTTGGCTCGCTCAGGGCTTCTGATCTTGAACTGCATTGGGAATGGGAGAGGCTCCAGAATGACGTTGGAGTTCGTCGCCTGCGTGTCGAAGGTCACGTCCTCGCCAGTGGAGGGGCACTTCTTGAGGCTCATGTCAAAGGCCCAGCATACACCTGCCCCAGCGACAAACATCTCGTCGTCTACCAGGTTCTGGCCCAGGCATGTTCGACGACCCCACCCAAACGTGTGCATGCCGACACCATCGCGGAAATTCGGATACCGGCTAAGAGGCTCTTGATAAGTGGGAAAGCCGGGATCCAGGTAGCGATCCGGGCGGTAGTGTTCCGGGTCGGGATACTTGTCCGGTACACGATTGATATTCCTGCATTTGGGCCACGTCAGTTATTAGGAGTTCACTGAAATTGGCGCGGGGAGATATACCACTCGCATGCAAGAATAATTGTTCCTTTCTCGATGTTCACACCGCGGAACTCAGAATCCTGCTCGCATTGATGGGGAACTCCTAAACAGATGTCGTTAGTTCTCAGATCCAGTGTAATTCGTCTTCATTCTGACGAATTACTTACCAAGAGGCACTCCAGATCTCCATCGCAGGGTCTCTTTCAGACAAGCTCTTACAGTCGGAAGTTCGGCGAAGTCGTCGCGGGTAGGCATTTTGTCACCACAGACCCTGTCAATCTCCTCTTGGCACTTCTTCAACCACTCGGGATGAAGCGCCATGCACATCAAGAAGAACTGCATAGGCCCAGAAATAGTGACCACTCCAACAAGGCATTGGAAGCCAAGCATGCAGGCTGCGAAGTCTTCGGCTTTTTCAGTCTGTTTGAGAGTCTCGTTTCCACTCTTCTGCAGCTGCTCGAAGTACCTGTAGGTCCACGTATCTGATGGCAAGTCTCCTCTAAGGTACCTTGCCTTGGCAAGCCGGAATGTTTTCAACCACCATGCGCGCTGGTTCTTCTCTCGGTTCACTTCATATTTGCGCCAAGGATTGTATCGGACGAGGTCTGCGATGTGCCACAGCGGTGTCATGGTATTAACAATGGGACCAGAGATGGACATTCTTGTCAAGGTTTCAATGGCACTCTCGCCGTAGGCTCGTCCTTGTGTCGAGTCATCCCAAGCGAGGCGGCTGATGATGCGTCCTGTCAGCTCGCGAGTGTTTCCGTGAAATTTCTCTGGGTCGACAAGGAGAGTCACCAGCCACCGCTTGACTTCGTTCTCAATATGACCATAGAAGTGGTGCTGATGAGCAGCCGCCATAGCCGCATGGACCCATTTTCTTTGATGCTTCCAAGTGTCTATTGATCAACTTAGCTTCAGGTCGATGATCGAACAGTCGTTGTTAGAATACCACTCACCGTGGCGGTCCATCAAGGCAGAGTACGCCGGGCCCAACTTATGATCAATGAGAGCCCTGATTTGGGGCCTTCCAGCAAATTTGTTGCCATCTTTGATGAGAAGATCTTGAGCCATTCCCTCATCAGAAATGATTACGAACTTCTGTCCAAGCATGCTGGTTTGATAAATAGGCCCAAACTCATCTGCCCATTCCTTGAGCTTGAGCCACATGGCAAATCTGGGCAAGTCATGGACTCGGCCGACAATTGGGTATTGTTTGGGACCAGGGAACTTGGCAGGTGGTTTGGATTTCTTGCCATCCACGGAGGCTTTCGTGGACCATCCTACCAAGCGCCGAAGAGAAGAGAATAGAAAGCCAGGCACCACCAGGATACCAAGATAAAATATGATGAGAGTAAAGCTCTCCATAATGAGGCTCTTAGGGTTTCCTTCTTGAGAAGAGGGTAACAGTGGATGCTCTGGGGGACCAGGAAGGGAGAACGGAGACAGTGGAAGGGTGGCATTGCAGATAGATATACTACTACGTGATTACCCGAGAACTAGTTACTCAACCTTGCTGCATGTAGGGCTGGTAAACTTGCCGAAGGGCCTTTGGGTGGGTCGATTTGGTCGAGACCATCCAAAGTCCCTTTCTGTGAAGAGACTGTGACTCCAGTGTTATCGGCATCCCCAGCTGGAAGTGCGCGTAGACAACAAATGGGAGAGTTCACGCTCTTCGTCAAGCCGGAGACCGCATGACGATGATTGTTACACGACGCGACGTGTACATGATTTCCACCCGGAACGCCTTGAACGGGCATTAAAATCTTTCGACTGCCTGCTTTCGGAATAGAATAGCACGATGTTGACACAGCGAAGTCCGAAGCAGAGTGAGCTACGGGTCTGTAGGATAAGCATCCCTCGCATCTGTGCTTCCTTCCAGCCATGAACATCACCGCCAAGTGTTATGTTAGCCCCAGATGCTCGCACGTTTCGTCACTGGCTTTCCCGATCTGGCAAATAAACGCCCTAGGAGGCGAATCGGCCATTGCCATGTAAGCAAAAATGGCAGCCTATTACTGCGCACAAGTTCATCGCTGAGGCAAATCAATGGGCGGGGATATGTCTCAAGACCCCATTGACAGGCTCGTTCCGACGAGAGACCTGCAGGATTTACAAGCAGGGATTGAGAAGATGCCTGCGCCGCCTGGCAGGGGCAGTGTCACATCGTGACTTGGTCACAGCCGGATCCGCCTAGGACCCTTGACTCCTTGACACCATGCAGAACTGCGCTAGAGGTCGTCACATGTCTTGTTCTTTCACTTTGTTCACGTTCATCAACTTGAAGTTTTCCTATGGCCATAACAGACTCAGTTGAACATGACGTTGAAGTTTTTGAGACAGCTCGTACGAGATTGGCTCGTTAAAACCGTCCGAGCACGCGCGGGAACGAGCCATCAGGAGCGCGGGTATGCACTATAAGGGCTTACTACGCGCACGACATCACACTGTGCCTGTAACTTCGTGCCAGTAAGGTAGGAATCTCAGGACGAAATCGCTCTCTTGACGCGGTAAGATACGAGATTGGGCAGTAGTCTGCTAACACAGGCGGCACTCTCAGTGCCGTGCTGACATGCAGGCGTGGCGCCCCCTCTGCACGCGGGGGAAAGATCGCCGAAAGATACTTCTTAAGCCGTGGGGGCGAGCCCTCCCAGATTGTTCATTGGGTTGTGCAAGATAATTAGCGACTAGCTACATCAGATGTCAGCTCGCGTGCTAGGTAGTCATTGAACACATCGGATGACATCGAACTCGCGAGATCGCGAGACGGGATGAACAGACTGGTCGCGGAAGCCTCCCGCGTCGGCGCACGCGCGCCAGGCAGCGACTCGGACTCTAAAGGGTACTTGACAGGAACGAGGCAGAAGGAAGCAGCTGCAAGGGGGACCAAAAGTCTAGCCGGTCCACATCTCTGTCACTGTGATGCCCGGATCCGGAGCGGGGACTGGGGAAGTCCGTGGACGTGGAACCTCAACGTTCCTTGACGGGGATTTGACAGCGGGATTGCCCCATTGGTTCGTGGGTTTTCTTAGTGTCCTTGATTCTCAACGATGTCTTGAAGCCACATTCAACTCCATACGAAAAGTCTTAACTGTCGTGATCCTCCTAAGGATTGGACATCCCGCGAGGGCTTGCCACACAAGTTGGCCTCTGTCGCAATTGTGCCTTATCAGCGTCGCTTATTGAGACCCGCCCATCTCAAAAGAATGAAGACCACGTCAATACGAAACCATGCACATTAGTCTCTGTATTAAAGACGCTTTTGGTTTGGGAGGGTGTAATCAGCATTTCCCATTCTCGAAAAAGATTAAAAAATGGGAAGCATAGGAAATCCTGAACTGGGTCCGGCTCCAGTTCGACCTACGTCATCTCGCGCCTCTGAGCGGGACATCTGAGAAGAGAAAGCCACAGTACGCGATTGAAAACAAGCTTCTTAGCTCCAGCTGATCACCTTCATTATGCCGCACAGAATTCGAACAATCTGCCTGATGTCTCCCTCCGAGCACCACCACCAACCTTATTTGCACGCCGGAGCCGGCCTGGGTTGCACTGGATTCAGCCTTGAGACGCCTCGTAACGTGTAGAAAAAGCGACTAGCAAGGATATGGCAACTCCAGAGTCAATAAACCATGGCTTGTACTTCCCTCGTAGTATCCAGGTTTTTAGTCAACCATGAATGTCATGGGCGAAGTGGCTTACCCTCTACTCCGGCTGTATGTGCAACCAAGCTACAAGCTGGGGATTAATTACTACGTATCTTCCGATCAAGGCTCGAGTATGGTAAGTATCCTGATTACCACCACTGCCCGCATAAGCGGGTCAAGCCCTTAAAAAACGACAACCAACGGAATCATTCTTGTCGAAAGAGGCAAGCCCAAGTGACGGGCTATGTACTTCTGATACGACAGGAATGAACGGAACCTCTATCCGCACTTCCGTCACTGTCGTCGCTGTGACACAAGTCATGTGTGGGCTGGATTTCCAAAGTAAATGGGCGCAATATACTTGCCGAAACGTGCTTCCGAAGGCGTTCAGAAGTGGAAGAAATGTTCAAGGTCTTAGAGGCTGCCGATCACCCTTGCCTATACATTCTGATTCAACCAGATTCTCGGGTATGAATCAGGCCCTTGGGGCCCGTCGGTTCAATATTAGTCTCAGGTCAGCCATACATATGTCTTGGCTCTAATGCGGGTTTTCTTGCGGTATCAGCCGGCCACTCATATTTGTCTCTCTATCTGACAACAGATTCCCACGTCATGGACAACACAAAGTTGTAAGAGGGGTTGGTGCATAAGACTATGGACTGACTGAACTTTCTTAGTATGGAGACCAGCATCACTCACCGAGATACCATGCGAGGTACTTGATTGGAGCAGTGTCCGCAAAGGATCTTCTCCCTTTTCGCCTTTGCTGCCTCAGAGGCCCCATGTGTGCCAGCCCGAGCTGTTAGGATCGACTCTAGCCAGATTGCCAGATACGAAGATAAGCGACTGACTTATGAAGCAAGAGATATCGGATGAGCTCCGCACCAACGCCAATGAATACTTCAGGCTCCAAGTAAATACACTTCTCATACTCAAATTATGACAATGCCCCTCTATATTGCCTCTTCAGGTTCCTTCTCTATAATGATTGCTCGCAGAGAGCTAGATGGCTCTTGAATCCTCCCTTACTCAAGGCTGCACAGTAAGGTTCAATGTGATGAATACTAAGAGTGTGTCTTCTTCTCCCAGCTATTCAAAGTCAGAACTGTTATGTAATGGGGCAGTCGACGTGTAACTCACAGGTCGAGGAACAATTTCCAAAGGATAGAGAACAATACGCCCTGGAGACCGTTGGCCAAGATTCGGGTCTTGAGACCACGTCCAAGGAAGCCGAGGAAGCCTTCTCTTTGTATAACAATCTTTGCAGCCTGAGCTGCAGTTTGGGAAAGGTTTTGGTCAGTAAGACAAGCACCAAGAGATTTTTGATAAGGTTCATCAAGAGAAACATTGACTTACAGTATGAAATCTGCGTGTCGTTGACTTGTCTGTAGGTCTTTACCACTCTCAACGAGTTGGAAACAGAATCAGAGATGACGGAGGCGCAGAATCCAATGAAGGCAAGACGCAAAAGCCACACAAAAATGTCACTCTTATCCGGTTCGGGAATGTTGGCGGAAAGGTAGTTGTACTGCGGTCAATCGTTAGCCTTGGCTTGCATCTGCAGCTTAGGGAAAGTCTTGAACTGACGGTTCCAAACCAAGGGTAGTGGCCGACAAATGTGGCGGCGGCAGTCGCAAAAGCTCCCCACCACAAGCTACCGATGCCATTTGTCTTGACACGCTGTCTCAGAATAGCGGTACCCTTGGCGCCCTGAGCCTGCAACGTCGTCTTGAGAGTATCGATGGGAGTCAAGATCATGCGGAAAGCAGCAGCACTTCAAAGTCACACTATATCAGCACATATTCTCATAATGACTCCGCGATTCAGCGAACAGAATGGAGGTCATGATGAGCTTACCAGAGAGAAGCAAAGATGGTCTTGATGAGGGTGGGGAGCTGGTTCAAGAATGAGTTCGACTCGAGAAGGGCAAGGATACCTGCGTTAGCGGCAGTGTCGCCGAAGCGGGAAACCGGTCCTGTTCACCAGTGTGTGAGCACAACTCTGACATGTTGGTATCATGAAGAGAGGCGCATGCGCCACATACCCTGGATCAGTGCGGCTCCAATACCCTGGTAGTACCTACGCACTCCTCCATCTTCATAGAGAGTGCGAGTTGCCTCTCTGAAACCAGATCCAAAGCGATACTGGTAGTTCATGATAGTCCTAATGGGCTAGTGATAATCTGCGATCAGTATGGTTCCTGCTCTCTAGCAACAAAGCATCGGCTTCCGCCTATTCACACTGAAGTACGTACCATGAGTGTCAAAACTTGCAAGACCATAGCCGCGGCGCCACTCAAGCCACCGCCTAGAGCTCTCATAAGAGCTGCTTTGAGATCAAACTAAGTGACGATGAGTCAGTTGTTGATTTGCTAAGCCCATCATCTAACCGACTCACGTTGGTGTCTTTGGCATCAATCCAGCCTTTGATAAAGACAGCCAGGACGAAGATAGCGAGAACCGCCCAGAACGCCCGCCATAACCACCAGCTAGTTGTCCTTCCTTTCTTTTCCTTTCCATCCTGGCCCGTGATGAGGGGCACCTGCTCGGGGTTCTGGATGCCTTCGTTCGCTCCGTTATCGTTGTTCCGATGCTCTGCAGCCTGCTGGCTTGATCCGGCCTCGGCGGATGTCCCCAGGAGCGGGGTCCGCTCGTCCGACTGCCGCGGCTGGCTTTCCAAGTCTTTCTGTGCTGCCATGGTTTCAACGCGAAAAATGGTGACACTCCCTGGTTTTGCGGTTGGTAGCCGTGATTGTGTCGTCGACGTTGATGGAGGTAAGTCGCGGCTCTCGGGCTCTTAGTAATTGATAGCTGTTTCGCTATCGCGTGCATGCGGGGGGTTATCGCGTGCTTTGAAATCCACTGACGCCACACCTTATTCTCAGCCACATTCATCTGTCACAGGGGTCAAGTTGGGATGATCTCGGAAGTCTTGACATCATCAATCTCATGCTCGGAATTGGTGAAAGATTTGTTCAGCGGTTTCTCAATTAAAAAGACATCATTAATTCGATCTAAAGCGCCATTGCATTCTCAGAACCCCAGTAGACAGTGTTTCCAAGTACTTACCTTTGCCCCCAAGTCCAGATGGACTTCCAAACTCCAGTCGGCTCTGATTGCATTTCCTCCGACCCGAACGACAGTTTCCTCAATAGGACGGTATGATGATAAGCAACCGCTCAATGAGTTGACATGTAGTGCGGAGCTTGCTATCGGAAGGTCATTTCTGGCCCTCGTTGAGCCCCCAATAACCCAGCATGGTGACTAGGTAAAGTACACGCGAGGCACCTAATAATCTGGGTCCCACGGTGCCTCATTAGCTTTCTCTTGCCAAGCACAGTGAGGCTACCAAGTGAACCCTTCCTAGTGGCAGTTGCGAGGCTTCGGGTTAGGGTCAGGAACATGATCGTCGAAATGCGACGACCACTTGGAATCATTCATAACCACACCCTTTCCTAGATTTTTTTACGAAATGAGAAAAACGATACGACTTCCATCTTCGGTGTCCTTCCATTCGTACTCGTAGTTTGTATAACAAGATTCGCAGTGCATGATCCACTTGTGGTTTTTGGGTGCATGTTGCGGTTTGACGGCCGGGTTCCAAATATCGCGTATCCTCTTCATAGGATCGTTCCTGTACGCTTTCGACGCGCAATATGTGCGTAGCTTACTTTCATCGGCGAGGAGTCCATCGAAGTCGAATATGAAGGGTTATGTCTTTTACAGTCAACATGCTTGCAGCATTTTGTAAGTCCGGCTCGCTTTGGAATTTCGACCCAGTGAACGTTATTCTTTATCTGATCTAGGTCGCAGCACGCGAAGAGTCTCGTTATTGTCTCCAAAAGCAAATCTCCTTTATTTGAAACGGCACATGCAAAGCCTTGTTGGACTTTGGCTTCCACTTTTTCAGAGAAGTAATCCTAGATTGTAGCCGTTTCCAGTAGTGTTTCAACAAAGGAGGCAGTCTTATAGCGTTCCGAATGCATGAAGGCCTTGTTCATGTTAAAGTGAAAACAGGGTGGAAGATATGGAGACGACAGTCTCTAGTGCCCCACTGAGATCCCTCGGATGCAGGGGCGATCTGAATCAGTCGACGTAGTCTAAAGGTGGTACCAACATAACAGGATCACGGAAAATCTGACAAGGCCGACAAAGAATCTTCCTGCGTGTAGTCTTGAGGACATCTCCCTCTAGTAGCTTCAACAGTTCTAGGCGTTCACTGGACTCCCAACTTAAGGTAGCCAGAACTGTTTGTTTGTCATGATTGACAGCATTATTTTGCTCTCCAAAGCCAAGACCACGCGTTCAGTCATCGTGAGGTGTTTGGCGACGACCAGAAGCAGATTGAGTGACAGGACCTTATCGAGACCCGATCCCGGATATGACTTCTCCTTCTTGGGGTGACTGACTATAGCTCTTATCCATCGACGAAAGCCACTCAAGGCCAAAGGCTTGACAAAGCCGTTGTCTAGCCCAGGACTAGGCTGTGCAGTGTTCATGTTCGAGTCCAATGGTTGCAGTGGCTTCTCATCTGTCTCGGTAACAGTGGCCCGCTAAGCCGGAGAGAAGTTTTGCGACTCAGCCTGTGTCTTATTGAAAGAAACCTTTCTAAGACCACTGTCTTTGCGTCGAGCTGCAATTTCTCTGTGTGATCTATCCTTTTTCTTATAAGCAAAAACTCCGTTTCTTTTCCTGCGCTCGTTCTTGTCTCATGTTGACTAAAGTTTCCTGACCTAGAGGCTGTCAAGATGTCTAGAGAGAGTTAGATCCCCAACCCGATCGCTCCCATGGACACGGACCTGGATACCTTGAGACAATTTGACACAGTGACAATCAATACAACATTACTTTAAGTGAGTACGCTAACGAAATAATATGCCGCCTTCCTGAATTTCTCTTCGTACTATCTTACCTTAAGATGCCCTTTTCACCACTTTTATTATAACCTCTATTACCTTTACCTCCATCACTACCACCATTAGTACTAGTTCCAGCTACTTCTTTCGGTATGTTCTCCGAGTAATATACTCAAAGCATCTTTGTAAAATAGCGTCAATGATGGTACGAGTACTAAGGATAGTAGTGGGAATGTAATTATGGCGTTGATTACTTTACATGCGCATCGGCCAGCAGACTATTTGGCACCCATGATGCACGGCTAGCACGTCTTCACGGTGCAGAATACTAAACTGAGGTACTCCTGAACCCTAATGTCCCAAGGCTTACCACTATTGCTCGAATGTGAACAGCATCTCCGAAGGGTTGCCATCCGCCACAGAAATTCCGGCAATTCCCTTGCCAACCGCCTTGGCCACTTCTGAAGCCACCACTCCGTAAGGGCTAGCCATCAGCGTATTCCAGCCCTTCGTCTCACCGAGGTCGTTAGTCGTAGTGAAGCCTCCAGCACTCTCTCCGAGCTCAGTACGCGCGCTACTAATCGCGGTTTGGGTCGCCGGGTCGACGACCTCGGAGAACTTGATGGAGGTTACCTCATTGATATTCAATGATGTGGCTGTCCAAAGCTGCGTAATGACCGAGCTAAGACTGAGACCGAGAGGAACTTGGCTTGCCCACGCTTCGTTGGCAACAATCCTGTATCCGTAAATATCGCACAGGACCTTCATAATAGCTTGTTCGCCATTTGTAAAGCCGTCGGTGTAGATCGCCTTCCAACGTCCAAGATCTTTCACGGAGTAGTCCGAGCCACCAGTTGCGCTGCCCTTCTTTGCCGTGAAGGTAAGCTCATATCTGGTAGACTCATCCGCTGTAGCCGAATTGTGGAACGCTTGGCGCATATCGGCCTTCTTTGCCGGCTTTCCTGGAGGCTTTAACAGCTCCGCGCGCGTATCGTCGACCGTGAAGCCCTTTGGTGGTCTAGGCCGGGGCTCGGTGGGTTCGACAGTTTCGGTGATATTGCCTTTGTACCAATATACTGCTCCGCCATTGCTGAGTCCGAGAGGAATCAACGAGTTGATATCAATAATAAGACCTCCTTCTTCCTTTGACTCTCGCAGGACGCAGTCTGCGATAGACCTGTCTGACCGTGAATCGTATCCACCACGAGGGAGAATGTAGCCGACTTGATCGAAGTTGCCGTTGGCGGGAATCATCCAAATATTGTCTTTATTGTCGTAGCCAACAACACCGCAACGGATACGGTTACCAGTGGCCTTTTGGAGCACTTGGAGAAATATTAGTTTCAGGGTACAGCTTTAAAATTTGGTCTCAGTGGTGGTTGACTAGCGATGGGACTTACCAGAGCCATCTTTGTCGCCACCGTCAACTACATCAGCGGGTAGATACCAGGGGTCAACCGTTCCAAGCGCTTTCCAGACAGTCTCACTGTCATCACCAGGGAGAAGGTCGTCGGTCTGAGCCTTCACAGCAATCAGGCTGAAAGCGCCCCAAAGGGCCAGCTTCTGAATGTTGATCATGGAGTACTGCATGCTGGTCTGCGTTCGATATTCAAGAGCAAATCTTTGAAGTCTCACTCAAATGACGCAGGTCATTGATGCTCGGGAACTCAAGGCTATTCGTATATAATTGTTCCCCTGCCACATCCGTGCGTCCTCTCTATCAACTTTAGCCCACATTTACCTGCGAACAATAAGAATGGGCTTTGGGCCACACTGGCGTAACTCTCTTTGAGTGCTTCCATATTTCGTCACTTTGATTTTTTTGACATCACTGTATTTGGGTTTGCCTAGGAATAAAAGGTCACTGTCGGGTCTCCCCTCTAAGCTACCTATAAACAAATTACTGCCTCGATCAAAGTGTCACAGAGATCATAGCAGGTCAATCATAGCTCCATCAAGGGTTATTTAAAATTGCATATGGGCCTCAAGATGGAGGTATGTTTTAGTCCCTTGATCGCCTCACTTTGTTTTCCCTGCCAAGAATGCCGTTCGTGCTCTCCGCTGACCGGGCGCTCTGAGTAGGTTTGTTGGAATAGTCTCCGGTTCGGATATAGCCGCCATTTTAGTTTTCAGCGATTAATTCAACTACGCTCCACTCCTGATGCGGCTCCCCCGGGTACTAAAGAGCCACTAAATATCTGATCTTACTTTAAGATACGATGTTCCCAACTTCCCAACGACTACCTAAGCTAGAATAGAGTTTACACTGCTTCCGGGGTGCCGAGAAAGGCTGAGTCGATCGCGATTCCGGTGAGGCCACGCTCCTCTTTAACCGCATTATCACCTCTAGGCATACCAGCCCAGGACCATCACTTCATTCTTTCAATTGTCAAGGACTCATGTTTCCCTGCATCTTTGCTCGGTCAAACAATCGTCTTCATTCTACGTGAACAACGCATGTGGACTATTGAAACAGTCGTCCCAGGTGTTTCCAGCAGAGGCATAAAATCTCTCTAGGACCTCTTTCGCTGCGACTGGAAGATAGATCCCCATCCGCCGACTGTCTTCCTCCATACGCCCCAGAACGAAGCTCCGCATGGACGGGTTTCCACTCTTCGCTTCGTATCCGGCTACAATAATTGGCCATGTGGTGCAGATCTTCAACGCTGGCGAGGCAAGCGATGCCGTGAGAAAAGAGAACAGCCTGTCACGATGGGTATCCTTGACGGTCATCCAGTCCTTCGAGAGAGGAATGGCCTTCACGCTCTGTAAAGAAGAAACACCAAACAGTACCACGGCAGACCGATATGTCTTGGCCATTAAGAGATGCCCATCTGCTAAA